ATCCATCGTTATCCACAGTCCCCTAGAGCACAATCCAAACGCCAACCAAACGCGACACGACTCTTCCAACACAGAAAAATGCACATGGAAATTGCCGCGAGAACTTTCTCGGCGCCGCCGATGTTGCTTACCAACGGCTTCAAGCCTTGCAACAGCTGACGATTAGTGAGAACTGACTTCTTTTCATGGACGACCAATCAGAACCGGTCTTACAAAAATGCCAACCAATCAAAATGTCGCTCTAAAAGGGCGATGCTATCGCCACGTGGTGGTGAAAAAACACACTAATCTAGGATAGCATTTTACATAGGAGTATTCCCAAGGACGAACGGGCGCGTCCATGCATTTCGGATGATTAATATATCGCTTCATCGTCCATGATAATGCCCGAAACTGCTATTAGGAATTTATGGACAACGAGACGTCCATGCAATCCCAGCCGTCCACGTTAATACCCTAAAAACCGCAAATTGTCCATGGGCTTACAACATTTCAAGCACAGCGGGTTTTACTCGCTGTACGCGGGTTGAATTGTTTTCAGTGTGGTACAGAAGATTTGCAGTTTCTTTTTCTCATTTTGGCTGTTCTTTCTTCCTCACCGGGCTCAACATTATAAAATATATTAAAAGTTAGCTTCGAATCTTCACATGAATTCAAATTCACGCAACATTTTTGTGCGTAGTTTACACCACTGATATCAAGAACCTGAGAAAATATTTGGCGTTAACCCGGCCGGGCCCGGGGGGTAATCCCAACCACCGCAGCCCGGGGGGGGGGCGTTTTTCGCCCCCCCCTGTCTAACTCCGTAAATAAGGGAGCTACGGAAACAAAAGCGATACCAAACGACAGGTCCTTACGAGACAATTCTAAAGCACCTAAAATTTTTGACCTCAGGTCAATTTTCAAGGTCAGAGGTCAAGGTCAAAGGCAAAAACCGGCACATGTGTAGTGATCTCAAAGTAAGCCTTCTAGAGGACGGCAGGCGGCATCAAACCGGCAAAATTGGGTGTCAAACGAAAGAAGAGAATCTGAGGATTCCGAAAATATGCTCAAAATCAAAGTTCAAGGTCAAGGTCACGCTCAAAATTGACCTCAAACTTGGCACTTTTTCGCACATCTTGCGTGCTAACTTTCAAGATGTTTTAAAATGTTTTGAGGCTTATCAGTTCCCTATTTGTGGTTCCTCTTACGATACAAGGCTGTTCAAAGGTCAAGGTCACTGAAGAGTATCCCTGCTAGAGGCTATTTCACTAATTCAAGTTAGTAATAATAAATAAGACAATTTTGCCATCCGGAAGCTCTAAATGAAGGCTTAGAGGAAAATAGATGCCAGATTCGTGATCAGCGGGTACAAATCCATCATAAACGACCTTTCATGTGTCAAGGTCAACCAGAGGTCATTCGAGGTCACATGAGGTCAACATAAAATTTGACCTTTTCCGAACAAAATATATATCATTCGACGCGGCTTGACAAGGCGAATGCGATGGTACCACTGCCGTAGCTCTAGGACCATTTTTGTCGAAGTTATTTGCGAAAAACTAAAACCACATTTCGGGGTCGTTGACCTGACCTTTGACCTCAGGTCACCAAAACTATTTTTCTATTTTTCTCTAGGTCAAACGCTACACAACCGTGCTCGTAATTTGTCTTTATCTCTAAAACTCTATTTTTAGCAGCTATTTGAAGTTTGCGTCTGTGACGCCGAAGTTTGCCGTGCAGGGGTCTAGAAAAATGGACCTTATGACGTCATCAAGGGGGCTAGGTCCAAATTTTTTACTTCAGAAGATGTCAAATTGATGGGAGAAAAGGTACTGAAAGTTTCGCTTTCCTATCCCTAAGCGTTCGGGAGCTATCGCAAATATTCGCCAGGGGGGGCGAAAAACGCCCCCCCCCCGGGCCCGCGAGGGTTAATTACGTCGTTTTATGAAACCCAAATGGCATCTATTGGTCCGGAATCGAGCATTTGCCGTAAATGAAGCTCCGTTATTTAGATGGCGTGAATTACTCCGGTCTCCGGCTTTATGAAACCGAATTGGCATCAAATACGCCCCAAATCTGGCATAATTGACGGAACGCCGTAAGTAATTCCTTTTATGAAACGAGGCCCTGAACTGAAGTCCTACGTCTTACGTCGTACGGTAGAACCGACCAACATCAACATTCTTTTGTAGGTTTGTTTCTGTTTTCATGGCTGTTTACAATTGTGAATTGCGTATGACCGCTGCAAATAGTCATTTTTTAAGCATCCTTGGGTACCAATTGGGGGGGGGGGGGTACGTCCCCCTCAGATACATCGACTGGGAGGACGTGTCCCCCCATGGGATTTAAAACCAGGCCCGGGGGTATGGTCACAGAAAGCGCACATATGTGCGGTGACTCCAGGGCGGTGTTTCACGGCCGCTAGCAGCGCGCTGCCTGCACACATGTCAAATTGGGTTTCCACGGAGCCATCAGCAAACTCAATATCTCCAACGCAGCTACAAACTGTGACACCAGCTCGCGAAATGCACTGGTGGTGTGCTGTTATCGGCCGTGAAACAGCGCCCTGGCCCGGGGCTCGACCACCGAGACCGGGCCCGGGGAATCGGCTGGACAGCCTGGGGTCTCGTGTGGTGACATTGGGCCCGCGGCCTCAGGTAGTGAGACCGGGCCCGGGTCTCGGACTCTCGGGCGATGAGACCTCAGGGCCGGGGTCTCTGGTGGTAAGACCGGGCCCGGGGTCTCGGGCGGTGGGACCAGGCCCAGGGTCTCGAGAGTCCAAACGTTAAAATATCCATCTGATGTATGTGCGTTAATGCAGCATAGCGCCTGTGCGTCATTGCAGAACCAGCTCACCTAAACACGCACGCCTCACATTCAGTCCTCTCCTGTCTTCTTCGACGCATCCCAGGTAATGCACGCATGGTCAAAGAAAACTCTGGCTTATTGGCCTCAATTGATGCATGATATTTATCCGGGCTATTATTGGTTCCGTGAAAAGTTAATGCACACCGAACCACGTATTATCATATCAGACACTTTTGCAGCATGATGAATCGGCGTTAAAAATCAGCACTTCTTTCACAAAGCATGCTATCATGCGGCCGGCCGTGCTATCATTGCTTGCCTTTTGATGCGAGAGCGCTGAAACGACTGCCCACCGCGGCACAAATGTTGCCAGAAATCGCTTTCGGTCGATTTATGCTTTCTACACTTCTGCTTGGGCAGCTATATTACAAAGTCATTGGTGTGCGTGTTTAGGACGTGTGCGTGATAGGAGCCACTTACCCAATGTACATACATTGTGCTTTACAGTGTTTGACCTGACTTTGACCTAGAATTTGTCCAAATGCTGTCCTTCTGACTAATTGAGTGTGCCCATTGAATTATATGCATAAAATGACCCTTAAAACATGTGCCGCACATGTCCTATTCTATATTTCGCTTTTGGTGATCTGACCTGACCTTGACCTTGACCTTTGCACGACATGGTATGCAATGAATCTTGTCTTGGTAGCCTAAGAGCACGTTTTGGATAATCAATATCAGTCCATTCTTCGGCAACTGCGCTCCAAAGCCGATAATGCAGAAACTTGCATTTTGTAGCCTTGAACTGACCTTGACCTGACCTCTGACCTACTTAACCCGCCCATGACTGGGGTATTTTCCATAACGCGAGTGACTGAGGGGGGCTCTCCAGAGCCCCCTCTCCTATCTCCGAAACTACTGGGCCGATCGTCAACATTCAAACGGCGTCTGATAGCCCTGGCAAAACTGTCTTACGGAACCTATTTTCATTGACCTTGAGGTCACCGATGGCGTCACAGGTCAGGTCAAAGTAAAAATTATTGGCATTTTTGCTTGTTTACAATTTAGGCTCTGGCCGCCGGCTGACTTGTCCGATCAGGCTCATTTTTGGTTTTCGCACTCCTTGCTTTATGCCTTAGATACCCTGAGGGTACCAAACTTTTACTCCTAATTTTTCAGGTCAAGGCCAGGTCATCCTAGGCCACGAAAATTGTATATCATGCATCGGTCACGTGACGCATGATTTATGGTCCATTTTACACGTAGATTTCAAAACCAATGTCGTCTGTGTCATTTGAGGTCATTTTCAGCTGCATTTACCGGAGGTCAGGTCAATTTCAGGTCAGAAAAGATCAAATTTTGAAAATGAAATTTTTCAACGAAACAGGTGCCTATCAGATGTAGTTTGAGCTCTGGAACACGATGGTGACATTTATATTGCTGTACGATGTCAAAAACGTACTGAAGAGGGGTTTTGAAAAATATATGATTGTAAAATTTTGACAATAATGCAAATAACTTGGCCATTTTTAAAGGTATTGGGTTTAAACTTGCTAGAGTAGTTCATAAGTGTGTTTCCTATCACATATGTTCCTTTTTTGCGAAAAATCAAACACTTTTTGAAAAAAATTAGAAAATACATTTTTTGTAATTGTAAAAAAATATTTTGAAAAAAATCAAAATTTCGAAAATTCGAGATAGCAGTTTGATAGCTACGTGTATTTGTATTCCACTGGTGCAAATAAATTGGATCTAGCTTTAAAACTAAGCTCTTGAGAGCGTTTGCCGTAATTCAATATTTTGCATCAAAATCGGCCGACATGACGTCACTCTGACGTCATTTCCGGCCAAACTATGGTAGCTAGGAAGTTTAGATTTTAACACAAGGTGTCAAATTGATGCTACTGAGGGTACTGCAAGTTTTGTGTTGATCCGTGAAACGTTTTAGAAGATATTGCAGAAAAACGTGAGGGAAGCTCTGTAGAGCCCCCCCCCCCCCCAGTCATGCGCGGGTTAAGCAAACGAAGTTGTGGTCCACAGATTCGTCTTGTTAAGAGCTTTCGATTGCTGATCTTCCCGTCTTTCTACGACTATTGGTTCGGAAGTAAGACGATGGGGGAGGGGGGCAGAATATGTCCCACCCCCCAGCAGGGCGCGTTTGGCTGAATAGCCCAGCGGGAGGACGGCGAATGGCGGACTGGCCAGAGGCTATGGCTACGGTGGCGCGGGTTCGGCACTTTTTATTCATTCTGTCCCAAGCATTGCTTACAGCAGTACAGCGTTGCCACACCTCGATGTCGGGTCGGCCGGCGGGACCACTACCGGACCTACTGTATATAAAAGTGGTCGCCCGTCTTTCACCGTCACCAGTCGTGGCCGTCTGCAGCAAGCTCAGTGTCTGAACAATGCGCGCCCTCATTGTCGCCGTCCTCATCGCCGTGGCCAGCGGCTCCGGCATCAGCTACGGCGGACCGGGCAGAGGCTATGGCGCGGGGCCGATCGGCGCTGCTGTCGTGATCGGTAAAAGCCACGGCAGAGGCTAAGGAGGCTACGGGCGAGGCTACGGCGGTCTCGGCTACGGCCACCTGGGTGTCGGCAAGGCTGTGGCTGCCGTGCGCCCCGCGCCTATCGTGCACGGCGTTCATAAGGCCGTCGCCGTCGACTACGCTGAGCCGCGGCCGTACCACTACCAGTACGCCGTCGACGACCCTCACTACGGACCCATGCTCAACAAGCAGGAGGAAGCCGACGGTGCCGGTAACGTTGTGGGCTCGTACTCCGTCAACCTGCCCGACGGCCGCACCCAGATCGTCAAGTACGTCGCCGACCACTACAACGGCTTCAACGCCGAGGTCAGCTACGAGGGCTACGCCCATCACCCGCAGGTGGCTCGCGGCTACGGCTACGGCGGCGGGCGAGGCGGGTACGGCGGCGGGCGAGGCGGGTACGGCGGCGGGCGAGGCGGGTACGGCGGCGGCCGTATCGTGGGTCTGGTGGGGGGCCGCGGCGCCGGTCTGGTGGGGGGCCACGGCGCCGGTCTGGTGGGGGGCCGTGGCAGAGGTCGTGGTCTCCGTGGAGGCTACGGCCGTGTCCCAGTCTACCGGCACTGACCGGGGGAGATATGGTAACAGTTGTATATTGTCACAGTGGTGTATTGTAACAGTGGTATATTGTAACTGATGCATGTTAGCGTAGTTCTGTTAATGTTTGCAGTGTTGTTGTTGTCTTGTTGTAGGGGAAGATGGGGGAACAATGCCCTTTGGGGAACACCGCCCACCCCGATATCAGAAATATAAAAAAGGTCTGGGGCGACAGCTGACTGTCTTTTGGCAGCGTAGCGTCAACAGAAGTGCAGGTATGGGCAGTGCACCGCATTGGCTTAGGTGATTTGCGAGAAATTCCTAATTCTACGTTTCGTTAATACGTTTTATACTTTTCTAGCAAAATAAGCAGAAGAAAACTTATCTTATTCAGGGCAACTTTTAAAGGGGGAAAGCGGGAATTTCCCCCCTTCGAAAATTCCGCTCCCCCTTTCAAATTGTGCGTGAACGGCTAGGGAGGGAAGGGGGAATTTCCCCCTTTCAAATTTATTTTTGAGCCCGTTTTCAATCAATTCGCTACTCAGATTCTATAATCATCGTTGATCAGACTCTAGTCATCAATCAACGTTGCTGGCGCTTAGATAATTTTCAATTTGAGGTTCCATCCAACCATTTTACGTTCAGTGCAGCGGGAAATCCAGATTTGACCCGATACCGATCGGATGGTCGGTGGGACCTTCTCTTGTCTTGTCTCTTCTGTCTCTTCGCAATCACTGACATATCGCTACAGGCGTAGAAACCGGGGGGGGGGGACGGGGGTCATGACCTCTTCGAACCAAGGGTCTTCCTTCGAACCAGGGTCCTTCAATCGGTCTTGGCCTAGCAAAAATAGTCACGTGCTAACCTCTCTCTATTTAGAAAGGCGCTACTTGATGTTTGGCCAGGGTTTGGTACTTGCTTGGTACTTGCAAAAGTACTCGGTACCTGCCAATGTACTTGGTATTTGCTTGGTAGTTGAAGCATGAAAACTTGCCACTCTACTCCCCCCTTCGGGATAATTCCGGGTTCGTCGTGTAGGAAAACTTGCCACTCTACTCCCCTCCCACTTCGGGATAATTCCGGGTTCGTCGGGTAGGAAAACTTGCCACTCTTCTCCCCCCCCCAGCCATTTGGTATCGATCGGTGTTTGTCCCGTGTCAATCGGTCGTGAATAAGCCGAGATATGCACGGCGAACTATTTCAATCGGCGCCAATCAGTAGACGCGTTTACATAGGGTTTGTTGCAAGCTTATATCTCCGTCCGTGATGTTGCAAAAGATGCCAATGGTGCTTAACAATTTACAAAATGATCCCCTCTAAATATTTGAAGACCACTGCAACGAAATTATCGCCAAATTAACGAGCTAGAGCCTCGTCAAATATGCTATGTAAACCGGGTTAGTATCTTCAGAACGGTGGGACCCACGCTCATTTCTGGCCGTATCTCACTTTTCCGAGATGTACGTCAAACCTACTCATTTAAAACTACATATTCTACAGCCGAATCTTCAAACTGGGGGTACCTCACTCACAATCGCGCGTGATTCAGCCACATTCCTGTACTCCCCCCCCCACACACACAGCCATTTGGTATCGATCGGTGCTTGTCCCGTGTGAATCGGTCGTCAATAAGCCGAGATATGCACGGGGAATTTTTTCAATCGGCGCCCCGATCAAAATCTTCAGAACGGAGGGAACCACGCTCATTTCTGGCCGTATCTCACTTTTCCGAGATGTACGTCAAACCTACAGGGTGTCCCATAAGTTCCTTCTCACCTAAATTTTTCTTTAAGAGGCTCTCTTATTTAAAGCCACGCTTAATTTATTTTGTAACTGAGCTTTTGGGGTTGCCATGGCAACTGTGAATGTGCTCCACGGTAACTAATTCGTCTAGACAAAATATTTTTTGCCAGAGAGTTCACTTCCTTTGGAGACGGCTTACGCCGCAACATAGAGGTCTCTGATACGGGAACGTCTCGGTATTTAGACCGCACTGGGCCATTCACGACGGTTGAGGGTGATTGAGGCCATCCAGTATGTAGCCAATGTCTATCGCTAACTGGACGCACAGTCAACAAGTGACGCCGATGATTTGTCGGGAGTCAATCGCTGCAAGTTTATGCTCTTTTTTGTCAGATTTCACGAGTGAGCCATGTGGCCAAAACTGTGTGGCGCCAAAATGGCCGTCAAAAAGGTCTTAGCGTTAGAAAGTTGGTAAACAGGCTTTTCAGGATGTATTGCCAGCTGTCTAAGAGTATCATTTCGGGGTACCTAACTCAAGGTGACTTAAGCTCTACTTACCGGAGGGCTCAAAACAGTCAAAAACGTCTTAAAATGGCCAAACATGTGTTTCGTTATGCCTGCGGCTAAAAAAACTGGAGGGTCGATGACATCAATGTGGTCATCTGGACTACCTAGTCCGTGCTCGAGATAAAACACCCGTCCAAACCCCAAAACGGTCCCATATGGGCGACGGAAAAGGCCTTTGTGTCATTCAGCTTTATTCCTATGCAAAAGGCCAGGGTCACGGTAATGTGGGTCAATATGCGTCCAGACACTGATCACGTTGCGAATGATGCTCCAGAAACAGTCTTGGGACGCAGAATGCTTCTCCAAGAAGATCTAGGAGGAGTTTCAGCTTTCTAGCTTAACTTGAACCGCAAGTATGACCACATTTTTTTAGTAGAAAATGGCATCCGGGAGGTCGTAGGCCCATCTTCAAGCAAGACAGTGCATCAGTGCAGAGGTCAAGCAAAGCATAAAAGCAGTGCCAGGAGACTGTGATAGGCGTGTGTGGCAAGATCACATCCCAGGCAACTCATCGGATCCAAATTTCATAAAAATGTGTTGGGAATATTGAAATCGAGGCTCGTCGAAGCGAAGCGGTGTTCCAGCATTGAGGAGCTCACGGCGCATGCCAAGTCAGTCTGCGCTAACTTCAAGCCTGCTATGCTGCCAAACATGCCGGTTGGCATGTCGCAGCATGTATTCATGTGTTTGCCTATGAAATGGGGAGCACATTGAGGGGTTATAAACATATCAAAACGCAATGTACTATGTTTTACATGCAAATAAAAGGTGAGAACGAACTTATGGGACACCCTGTACATTTACGGCGGCCGGCCGGCAGCCGGCCGCCGGGATCTCCGGAACGGCGGTACCCCGCTCATTTTCGCACGCGCATTCAGCGGCGGCTTGTCGATTTTTCGAGTGTCGGCTGCCGATCTCCCGAGAGACGGCCACCTGTCATCCGCCGCTCGCCTCTGTGTTAAGCATATGGAGACGGCGAATTTCTCCGGGATGGAGGGACCGCCATCAAGTTTGTCACGTGAATCAGCCGCATTCCTGTGTGGCGCGCAATGTTGAAGAGATATGTCTGTCCGCGGCTATCTCGCAGGCCCTAAGAGAAAAAGCTCGCTGCAAAAACTGAGCGTTTCAAAAAACCCGCAAACCGACGCAAATAGAATATTTATACAAGATATTACTTGCTCGCTGTCGCTCACGTGATTGGCCATAAAATTTGGAATCGATTGGTGCTTATCCCGTGTTAATCGGAAGTCTAGAAGCTTAGATATTCGCGAAAAACTTGCTGAACTTGCAAAAGTACTTGGTACTTGCTTGTTACTTGCCAAAGTACTCAGTACTTGCCAAAGTACTTGGTACTTGCTTGGTATTGGCATAAGTACTCGGTATTTGCCAAAGTACTTGGTACTTGCTTGGTATTTGCAAAAGTACTTGGTACTTGCTTGGTAGTTGTAAAAGTACTTGGTACTTGCTTGGTACTTGCAAAGATACTTTGTACTTGCTTAGTACTTGCAAAGGTACTTGGTACTTGCCTGGTACTTCGGGATAGTTTTCTACTTCGGGATAGTTCCGTGTTCGTCAGGTAGGAAAACTTGCCACTCTATTACAGGCTGCCCCCCCCCCCCCAAGGTCCACCTCCCAAGTTTGTGATCGATCGGTGCTTGTCCGGTGTCGATCTGACATCTAGAATCTGAGATATAAGTATCAACGAAATACTGTCAGCCGCCAGTGACGTCATATGAACTCTTAGCCACCAGTGACGTCACGGCGACTGTCTGCCGCTCCGCCGTTTCTGTGGCCTGGCCGCTGGGGGCCGGCCGCTAGGTGGCATGAGATGCTGCCGCCAGCTGGCAGCACCTGTCAAGCGTGCGTGCCGGCCGACTGCGCAGGTGGCAGCACCTGCCCCGACTGGGCAATCGGCCGCCCATCTCCCCACCCCGCCCCCACCCAGCTGGCCGCCAGACCGTGGGAACGACTCGGCTCAGCGCTGCCGGCCGATGGACGGGGAAACCCCGCCCCGCCGCCCGCCGCCCGCCACACTGCCGCCGGGCCGGCCGGTGGAATTTTCCAGCCGTCGGCCGGCCGCCGGCTGCCGAGATCTGCGGAACGGCGGTACCCACGCTCATCTTCGCACGCGCATTCAGCGGCGGCTTGTCGATTTTTCGAGTGTCGGCTGCCGATCTCCCGAGAGCCGGCCACCTGTCAGCCGCCGCTCGGCTCTGTGTTAAGCATATGGGGACGGCGAATTTCTCCCGGAGGGAAGCACCTCGCTCACAAAAGCACGTGAATCAGCCGCATTCCTGTGTGGCGCGCAATGCTGAAGAGATATGTGTGTACGCAGCTATCTCGCAGGCCCTAACAGGAAAAGCTCGCTGCAAAAACTGAGCGTTTCAAAAAACCCGCAATCCTACTCAAATAGTATACTATACAAGATATCTTGGCTCGCTACGCGTCGCGTTGGCCATAAAATGATTAAGGAGAAAATTTGGGACCGATTGGTGTTTGTCCCGTGTTGATCGGACGTCTAGAAGCTTAGATATTCGCGAAAAACTTGTTGAACTTGCCAAAATACCTGCCAGCTTGCTGTATCACCTGCTACCGTTTACATCATGACGTCTTTAGACGACTAAAGACTTCGCGAATTCGCCTTGGTCTCAGATCGTTTTGTTTTGTTTTCAATGAATTGTTTGCAATTTGAATTATGTTTAATTCCAATTCGTATTCTG